CGTTGCTGAGTGGTACCTTATCGTGTCATTCGTGTTCATCTTCTTAGCTCTGGTTGAGTCTGCAGTGGTGTACAAGGCCAGTCAGTGGTCACTCCTGAAAAAGAACAGGAATGAGATGTCGGAAAAAGAGCTTCGCAGAGATAAGGTAATTTGGTCCGATAGCAGATCCAGGGAGAGGGTCTGGGGGTATGGCCCACCCCTGGGGTCGATGGGTCTCACTGATTCATATTTTGGTGGTTGATTTTTCTTCAATTCGTACCCAGTCTTCGTTCATTCGTTCGTTTGTTGCATCATCATCATTCAAATATTTCGTAATTTAACTAATTTTTTTCCAGTTTTTTACCTATGTATGCGGCTTCTCATGCAATCAGAAATGCCAGGCTCTGGAAATCTGAAGGAGTTTTATTTCAGTTCTATCTCCCATCTCATCTATCGTTGAAGTCCTTGAACAGGATATTTCTTGATTTCCCATCTTACGAGAGAAAGTATGCAAATAATTGACAATTTCCCATACCAATGTCTCAGAACTCTTTTCTTCAGAGTCATACTTCACAGACACCACCAGGAAATGAATTTTACAAAGAAACCGAAATTCAGAAACCCGAAGCACTGACGTCTTCGAGATCACCAAGGATGTTAGGACACAATACTCTCAGCTTTGACCAAACAGTGAATAAATCATCGGAGCACATTTTTCCTGAAGAGAGATGCGAAATTCACAAACCCGAAGCACTGACATCTTCCACAACACTAAAGATGTTAAGATACAATACTCTCAGTTTTGACCAAACAGTAAATAAATCATCGGAGCACATTTTTCTTGAAGAGAGAAGCGAAGGGACAGAGCCCCCTAAAATCTCGACTATTGCAACTGGAACTGAAGCCAGGGAAAACTGGGGCCTCGCGATAGACCGGGGGGCGCGTGTATTTTTTCCGTTCTCTTACATCATCTTCACAGTGTTGTATTTTGTTGTGATGTTAAAGTCCGATGGAGAATCCAAATAGAAGTTCCAGTCGTTTGAATCTCCAATCACCCAAATAGCGAAACAATAAAATCAAAGACTTGTAAAATGTAACTTTAGATTATTTACAGCTAAAACTACTTCTAGTCAGTTCAGTTCTCTTAAATTTCAATCTCACCGGATTTCAAAGGTTTCAGCTTAGATGTATTAGTTAAATAAGGTTGAGAGCAACACTACAATTTTAAATGGTTTTTATTTGTCATTAAATAAAAAATATCAGATATTTTGAAATTATGTTTTTGGAGGTTGTCTGACAAGAAGTTAAGGTTAGAGTCAGGTGAGTTTCAGGAGAAACTTGAGTACTTTTTATAGATCAGTTTCAATCCTTTGATTGGCACCTAATTTCTCCTTACAATATCATCCCTTAATTGCACAGTGAGGTCATCAAGCTCTTAATTGTTGAATGTGAGATATGGGATTTGAGATAGGGGATAGGGATTTGGCCGGGATGCGGGATACAGCATTTGGGATTTTGGATTTGGAATTCAAAAAAATCGGCAGAAGTCAAGTCTGTATCAATACACTATTTTTTTATTTAATCACACAAGCTGTTAGACTTCACCTTCACCAGACTGCAGAAATTGAAAGATGCTTCAAATGTAAATGTACAAAAATCCATGCTGCCTTATGGCCAATTATTGTAACAATGTTGATTATGTACAATTCAAAAAACGCAAGAAAATGTTTTAAATGGTTTACATCAAACCACTTTCAGAGAATCACAAGTCTTCCAAGTGAAATAAATGCAGTAAAATTAATTATTAATATGATTCATAACTTGAAGGACTGAATTATCATCCATGTGTAAAAGATTTATGTATGTTTTACTGCGCTTTGCATGATCCAAGACTTGGTCTTTTCAGGATGGATTTTCTTTTGCTTGGAGTGGTGGGTGATTTGACACTATCTAATGAGTCATCTGTTGGGGAAAAAAAGGCAAAAAAAAACCACATAATCAATAATAACCTTACTTTCAATGTGCGTGTTCCTAAAATTGACAGATACAGTGATTAACATGTAACTTCTCCCTATAATACCCACCATTATCCAGCAAACAGATAATACTCAGAATTAGCAGGTTAAAGTTTTTATCTCGATCTAGCATCAAATTCTCACAACTAATTTACAAGGAAATATGTAGCAGCTAAAGGGGAGGATTAACAATCAGATCTTGGAAGTTAAAGGTTAACAATGCGATGTAAGAAGATCTATGATTTTGCCAGATCAATGTCAGTATATGAGAAACTACATACCTACCCCTCCCTAATCCAAAATTACCCCTAATTTGTTATCAGTTGACTGTTGCTGTGAGTTGGGGGAGGAGTAGGTGGGCAGTTTGTCAGATACTGAAATTGATTCATTTGACCATCCATACTGTGTAGTCACGGCACCTCACCTTCACTTGTCTTCACGCCTTTTGAACATTGTTTTCCATTTTCAGTTGTCCATGTATATTTATTTCATTAGGTTCGTCAGTCATTTTTGGTTACGTCACATTTCATATTTTCATGTTCATTTTTTATGCATTGTTTCTATTGTTTGGTATAGTTTCTTTGCCGTAGTTTTCTTGTCGCCATTGTCATTATGTTTTAGTCATCGTAGTCGCCACATAATCTTGTAAGTTTCGTTATTTTGTCTGTCATTTTGCCTGTTTTATTTGTATTTTGTTTTGCTTTCCTGTTCTGTATATTTAACTCGTTTATGTACATTTGCCTTTAGTGAATCGCGAGTAAAAGTGCGAATCTCTCTGGTTTGTGGATTTCAACTACATATTGTTCATGATGACAGACCAGTAAGGCAACTTGTAACATTAATCTGGCACTCACATCAGATTTTGATAGGAGAGAGGTAGTACATTTCCTTAACCCTTTAACCCCCCCAAGAGTGACTAAAATCTGATTTCTCCTTACAATATCACCCCTGAATCAATTATTAAGGTCATGAGAATAATGGAAATGATCAAAAACTAAGCGCCTCCCGGTTAGCTCAATGGATAGAGTGCTAGACTGATGTGCGGGAGGTCAAAGGTTCAAGCCCTGACCAGACCAACACTCAAGGTCTTAAAATAATTGAGAAGAATATGCTGCCTTTCTATAACATCAAGAAATGGTTTAGATATTCTAGTCTTCTCGGATAGGGACGAATAAATGGGGGTCCCATCTCCTGCAGGGTTAGGGGTAGGTCACGTTAATTTCCCACACATGAGATTACTGTGTGATGGATGTCCTCCCTTGGGGTGGGATGGGTGGGTTGTTGTCTTGTGTTTCATACATGAGCCTCTGGCTCAGGCAATATGGGTAACCAAGCCCCACGTAAAGACATTACACTTTGATTACGATTGATTACTATTACAACTAAAGAAGTTCTTGATTGTTAACCAAATTCTCCTTGTCAGCAACTTTGGATAGTTAGATCAAACAGTATGGAGAATATGTATACTGGACCGTGTTGTTCAGAGCTGGGCTAAGATAACCCAGGGTTGGTGTGAAATTTGATTTCAGATCTGAGAGCTGTAAAAGAAAATTCAGCTTAATTCTATTTTTCTACAATTTGATGATTGAATGTTCTAAAAAGAATTAGAAAAATTGTCCCAAAATGGCTTTTGAACAGAGAAACATAGAAACCTGGGTTAAAATTTAATTCTGGGCTAGTGCTAATTGGCCTTCAAACAACTAGGCCCTGGATACTTGTTCACTAACCTGCAGAGTAAGATTCATCAAATTGACTGTGTGCTTGATGATCTTCCTCATCCAGAGTTGGATTGTGCAGATCATCTAGATAGGGAACAACACTCATGCTGCGTAACATGTCACCTTCCACAATTGGTGGGATGGCAACTCTGTGCTTTGTTTTCCAGTGATTTTTGCAGACCCATCTGATTTCATGATGAAAAAAAAAAATGGAATAAAATTAGGAAACTTATTGCCAGGATCTTCACAGCTACATTTAGGACTGACAAATGAAAAGAATAACTCCTCATAACAGATTAAAACAAACAGTTTGGGACAGTGGCATGAATTTTCTCAACAAATCACAAGGTGAAGAAATGCAAAACCAATGGAATCCTAGATTCCTTTTGACACTCAATTGCAAATCACACAAATTAAAAGGGCATTCACAAATCAAACCATAATCTCTGCTGAAATGCAATTCCTTGGTAGATGGCATTTCCTGTTCTTTCAACAGCCACAGTCAGCTCTTAAACTAACTAAAGACAATGTATCTTTATTTTACACCATTTCCCCTACAATATGTAATTTCATCACAATAAAAGCACTGATGCCATACTTCCTTTAATTTGCTATTACCTGTGTTGTCGTATCTGCTGAATGGTAAATCTGTTCCGAGGATTTGCATTCAGCATCCCTAAGAAAAAAATGTACATTTTAATCAACAAAAATATGTTTTGAGTTGTTATGGACAACAAAATTGAGACATCATAATAATAGGGTATATCAGGAGTGAGTGAACCCATATTTCACAGGCTCATAGCCTGCAGTGCAGCCATATTTGTTTTTGTTAAGGTGAGTTAATATTACAAGTTTGCAATTGTTTATTGACCTGGCAATGTTTGATTTAGAGTTAAACTAAATGGTGCGGAGGAGAGATACTGAAGGTCAGGAAAGACTTGATTTCTATTGCCCCACATTCTTTCCTCTCTTTCCTCCTGAATGTTGCTTATCCGCTTGGTACAAATTTCTTTCTCTCCCCAACATTCCACGGGCAGCTATAATTTTCATCAAGAAAATACTGAGTACCTGCCTGGTCTGCAGGCTAATGACATGTACATTGCAGCTCAAAGTAAAATAAACTCAAGTGGAGTAGCTCAATGCTCTATGCCGCTAAACAAGATTACAAATCCTTCCTTTTATCTTACAATGCTCTGCTTGCTAAACAGCCAAAAGCTTGTTGCATGTATATTGGGCAACATTAAATCTGCAAGAGGACCAATTGCAATGTCAACATTCCTGGTTGTACCTCTTAGAAGATCAGCTAACAAATCATCCACTTCTTCAGGGACTGTAAATTCTCCTTTACCAATATTTTCAAACAATTTATAAATATTTTCCCCTTCAAATGGGTATTTTCCAGTGGTAATGTTGAACCTGAGTAACACAGAAATTATATTATGGTCATATTTTTGCAATAATCTCTCAGGGCACTTAAACAATGTAAACTCGATGAAGCTAGACTCTTAACTGATTTCTTCATCACAAATAATAATAGTACTTTTAACATTTAATCAAAGCTACACCAATATGTAATGCTTCAACACAATATACAGTCAAGCATTTAATTAATAACAGAGCCAAATGTTGCAAAACCAATGCAATTTCAGATTTATAATCAACACATAATCCCACTTACAGTGTTACTCCAGCTGCCCATATATCAACTTTAAACCCAGAGAATGTCTCCAATCCATTGGCAATCTCTGGTGGCTGAAAAGCTGGAGATCCCTGACTTGTCCTGCAAGTGTCATCAACTGCAAATGGACTCAACCTCTACAAGAACATAAAACATGGAGCAACTGTTCTCAGACAACAAATCTACAAATTGTTCAGAAATATTTGAAATACCTACTTACCACATTACCGGTGAAATTATTGGTTAAATAATAACAAGTAATTCTACAGACTCTATTCCTACAGCAATTTACAAACCTCTGCAACTCCAAAGTCTGATATCTTTAATGTCCCATCAGTTGCTAAAAGTAAATTACCTGGCTTGATATGTAGTACAAAATTAAGGGGAATAACTTAGCCAGTATGGAAGTAGTTAGCGAGTACTATTCATATTTGTGCAGACTGGCCATTTTTCATTTCACAAAATTAAACTAGTGGTTTCTGAGTGGTTAACACTAACAATTATTCACCTCAGTTTCTGTGAAAGTTGTGGATATCTACCTTACTGCTTCATGGCTCAGTAAATAATCACCACTCTTCACCTCCACTTTGTTGAATAATTGTTTTATTAAAATTGTACAAAATCTAATGTTTCTCTTTTTTTTGGTTAACTGTAATTTCAATCTGGGACCATGTTATGAATTAGAAAAAAACTTGAGCTAAAGGCATATCATATTTTGAATATCAAACAACTTACTAATACAATCAAAATGATTGCTTTGTTAAAGGATATCTTTATGGATAATTCTTTGACTGTGTAAATACTCAAGACCATTCAACAATTGAGTGAAATACCTAGAAAATACAATAAGGAAGTCAAATTTAGTTTCTAATAGAGGACTAAGGATAGACTTTCAACAATGTGTGAATTTATAATAATATCCACTGGTTTTCTTTATTTTTCATTTAACTTTGCCTAATTATCTTAGGCAGGGAGTCCACTACAGCCTTAGCCAATTGCAGTGGATCCTGCATCTGACAAGACCAGACCCCCCCCAATTCCCAGTAAACAGGCCAGACCACGTCACAGTAATCTCGTGAGTGGGTTCTTTAATGTCCCCTGCCTAACCAAATTAACTAATTAATAGAAGCAGGAGACAGGACCCGTGGTTTATTCGTCCTTATCCGAGAAGACTCGAATGTCTATCCACATCTTGATGTAATTATAGAAAGGTAGCACATTCTCCTCAGTTATTTTAAGACCTTGAGTGTTGGTCTGGCTGAGGCTCGAACCCTTGACCTCCCACACAACAGTCCGGTGCTCTAACCAATTGAGCTAACTGGGAGGTGGTTATTCTTTAGGTTCCACCCCAGCAGGGTTGTAAGTGTGTAACCTCAAAAGTACCCATGTGCTTTAACGGGTGATCAACAGCCAAAAATCCAGCGAGCTTTTTATCCAGTGAGTTTAGCTGGCAGCTGATACCTTGCAACAACCCTGCAGCAGTCCATGTTGTTAGCTATTTTTATTACTTCTTGTTGCATACTTACCCATGGGCCTGCCAAATGGGAAACTTATGTTCTTCAATGCTTTCCAACATCTCTTGTAGTTCTCCCACACAATATTCCATAATCATATACCTTTATGAAAAGTCTGTTAAGGTTTTAATCAGAGGATTGCTCAGTTCTTTTGCTACATTGAATCAACATTGACAAGTGTATTATTTGCAAGTATTTTTTTTCCCACCAATTGTAATTTAATGTTTGCCAAGTTTACATTTTGATCAAACAAAAGATATAATTTGTATCTTATTTGTTAGAGGATCATAGTATATTTTAATGCTATCTGGAATAAAAATAAAGAAATGAGAAATTCAAACCAATGTGAGCTACATGACAACATTAAGTTAACCTTGGAAATTTTAGTGAAAAAAGAAAAATGCTTCAGCATTCCTAATTACATTAATTTTAAACAAACGTGATTATCAGTTTTGTCACATCTGTCAGAAGGTTTACACAATCAAATTTACATTTCTGGGGTTAAAGATGAAAATAAGAGCTCAATAGACCCTTCCCCCCCAAATTAAAAAAAAAAGTGTTGATCAAAATAAAATGTTCTTATGGTTTATAAGAAATGTATATGTATATTAAGTTCTACATTATCATGACTTACAAAACAAAAATAATTTCCTATTTCATTACATTCTTGGAGGTCTCACATGTCTCGCATTGTATTAATTTGCATGTTCACATATTCCCACTGCTTATGTGACAAAATCCTGTATCCTGTAATCAAGTTTAATGTCTTTGCGTGGGGCATGGTTGCCCATATTTCCCGAGCCAGAGGCTCATAAATCGCAAGACAACACCCACCCATCCCACCCCAGGGGAGGACATCCATCACACAGTAATCTCGTGCGTGGAAAATTACAAAAAAAAAAACAAAACAAACAATAACAAAATAACAAAACCAATCAAATACAAGATCTAAAGGTACTGTATCAAAGCATTGTATAGTTGTCACTGATGGTAAATAGCGTAAAACAATAAATGTATATTAGATTTCCGCGGAAAACGCCGGTGGATAAATGTGCGAAATGTAACGGTTCAGTTTTTACGTAAAGGATACATTTTTTGCTTTTGTTCGTCGTAAATCACATCATACAGTTTAATGACATTTGGGTGGCATAGCCGTTTCAGCAACTGAATTTCTCTGTCGATGAACGAAGTTTCAAAGATATAGGATTACAATCTTGTTTATTACAATTGAATCTGGCAATTATGATATGATTTCACACTTAAAATCAGCGAAACAATCTTTTGACGAAGCTTCTTCAGTAAAGTAAACAGACCAAGAATAAGTATCACCTTTGAACATTTTGTTCTCCATTTGGAATTCTTCTTAGTTTTCGTCGCTTCATGATTTTCACTGCACAACGTCGAAGATTTTCACTGTCGAGCATTTCCTTCACCTTGCCGTAAGATCCCTCACCAAGAGCATCTCCCATTAAATACTTTCCTATAAACTTAGCTCTCTTCCTTCGAGGTTGATAAATAATCTGATCGGAGTCAACCCGATGAAAGAAAATGTTTGGATCTTCATCACCAAGAAACGCAGGGCTGTCGATGTTGTCGTAAAGTCCATCCTCGTTTCCGATCACAAACAGTCGCTGGACACCATTCTCTACGACCATACTGTCCACCATTTGAAGGCATTGGTCTCCACGACCAAAATAGCAGCTACTTCATGATGCTCGTCTACAAATTCTTAAGACGTTACGGTACATATTATCCACGACGTCCGCCATTTTGCTTGCATCGTGACGTCAGAGGAAATAGTGATGTCACACGTTCCTGACGTTGGAACTTCCGGGAGGCAAAGCCAAACCTATCGATCGTCGAGAAGTTTCCTCGGCCATTTCGTTGAAATTTATTTTCGGAGCGAAACCGTATGGCAGTGTTTCCAATCCATTCCCTACAAGAAAAATGTAGGCAAGTTCTACGGAATTTAGACAATTAGACAGAATCTTTATGGAGCTCCCTTGCTCTGAACAACAAGGGAATGGTGTTGTTCTCCAGACGGTAATATTTTTAAAGGTCGTTTATGTGGTTTTTATCTCTTCTCGATAACAAGCTTTGGCTAGACTTAATCAAAAACATTTGAATTTTTCGTTTTTCGCTTGCTATCATCACCCGCTAGTGTTTGTAGAAAGTGGATGATATGCCAGTCACGGGGAGGTAATGATGGTGATGATTTTCTCGTGCAATCATTTTCAAAATGATTGTCATAACGTCTAACACTCAACGGTCATTTTAACACTTAAACGCATACGAGTGACTGGCATCTTATTTCTTTCTACACCATCACCTCTGAATTCTACCATATGTTCTGCAAATTGTAATCAAGCATGTTTACGGTAAACAAATATGAACAAAGCTTTTATTTTGTTACAACAGACACGTGGAAAGGTAGCAAAAAACACTTGTCGTTGCTGCAGAACGCGAGGAATCAAATAAAGTACGTTAGAGCTCAGTTACTTCCATAATTCTTTACCTTGAAAATTTGGATTTAGCTGAGAGGTTAGAGTTATAAATTTGAAAAATAAACGGATAACTTTATTTTCGCTTGGTCAATTCTTCAAAACAGGCTGCCCCGAATATGGCGAACGGCGTAGTCCTAGGGCAGAGGAGGAATGGTGATTCCACGAGGTCCACGTCCGGCGTAGAATCACATCTAAGGGTGCTTGTTATAAACCGCAGGCTCAGACAGTTAAAAGAAAAACCAGACACTTCTTTCGAGAGTTTCCGGATAGTTCAAACTAACAAAAGCGATGCGAGTCTGCGTTCGAGTCAAGCACTGAAAACTTCACATGCTTGGTGTAGATCAAAATATCTTTCAAGGTGAAATTGAGTGGTAAACGAAATTCATCTCTCGCGTATCTCTACTTATACCTAACTATTCACACAAGCACAGAATCCCGGCTGCCGGCCGAAATAAATGTCCAAAGAAAAATCCGACATGGTGATAAAGCTTGTAACCTACAGGGTACTTGGTTGTAGTAATGAGAGAGCCTTTGGTGGATAAATCTTTTTATAACATAACCAAAGTAAAGCGCGCGCT